GTACATAGGACTTTAACATTGTGTACGCATGCCTTGGCTGACCCCCCTCCCCCCATCCAGTGCGTACGTACTTATTGAATGATCCCTAATGGAAATATTGATATTAGTAATTCTTGCGCAATAGTAAAGTCATAAATATTTTAATATTAAATACTTATTTAAATAAAATTTTGCCTCATTTCCCATTTGGATAATTGTTATTATTTTCATTAAATAAAAAATTACTATTTATTTAGAGTTAATTATATTATAGTTATTAAACTAAATTTTATATCAAAATGAAAAAAATGCAACAATTAAAAAATAAGATTTTATGCACAAAATGATAAATTATTCAATTTTAATTTGCTTTTAAAATATTTGATTGTGAGTTTATTTGTAATTATATAACGATTTTAACATAATTAATATAAATACAATAAATACATGTATCGCATTTTAGCCAAACAATGGCTTAACATTAACATTGCACTCAAATATATCTGTATTATTAAAATAGTATTTTTATTCTTTGGTATCAATGACTGCGTGTATAATATACAATAGTCTGATTAACAAACAGGTGTCATATCAAAGACCTCCTCCAGAAGTGGTGGAATCAAAGTTTTCGGCGTTTCTTCCATTATAATCTTCCTCTGAGCCTCTCTTAAGACATTTAAATCCATTATTATATTCATTAGTCTCAAGAAACGCGACTTTGCCTCACATTCCGATCGATACTTCAATTGTAAATATCTAAGCAATAAATGCATATAAATGTGTTGTTGGAGTCTATATTGTGTGACAAATAAACATAAAATCAATTANTTTGTAGCGCCCATAGGAGGGCAAAAAAACTGAGCATGTTGGAGTTTATATTGTGTGACAAATAAACATAAAATCAATTAATAATACATATATAACTAGAAAATGTAGATCTCAAAAGTTAAAATCGATAAAAAAAACTATAAAATATATAATTATTTACTTGATAACGTTTCTATTAGCAAGGTTTGGACGATCGGGATTGAACAAAGTTATTGATGACATCTATCAAAATGATTAAATTAATTATCAATATAAGTTTTACAAATACATATAATATTTAAAAATTAATTCAGACCAAATCAAGTATAGTGATATCAGTGTCCCAAATGTCAGCCATTTTTCGCACAAATTTAGTGTACGGCTTATAATAATAGTCAATATTTTTCAAATAATCTACTTTTACTACAATCGAGTGTTCCGTATCCTATGAACAATAAGTTAGACCAAGAATATATTATACAGTTAAATGTAAATTAATGTGACATACCATGGGAACTTTGAGGGTATTATTCGTGTAATCAAAATACAAGATAGACCTCAAGAATATGATGTCAAAGCACCCGTACTTCAGTAGTGAGATCTGGTCCTCACAACAAATATTTCTGAATGCGGACAACCATTTGACAGCTTTTGTCTGATCTCTTATGGAAGTGTCATATTTGGTGGTAAATGACTGATGAATATCATACATAGTGTCCAAGAATTTAGTGTTAGTGCTCATCGGAGCCCCCAGAAGCTGAGTGCATGTCTTCATCTCTTTCAGTAAATAAATTTCCATTTCATTGAAACGAGTGTTGCATTCATTTAGAGGCCTCGCGATAGGTATCACCGAAACACTAAACTCTACGGAGGAGCCCCCAGAAGCTGAGTGCATGTCTTCATCTCTTTCAGTAAATAAATTTCCATTTCATTGAAACGAGTGTTGCATTCATTTAGAGGCCTCGCGATAGGTATCACCGAAACACTAAACTCTACGGCCTTTTCGATCGTCTCGTTTGACACATAACCGGATTGTGAATTAATTTCATTACAATTATTATTATATACACCAATTTGCTGGTCATTTATCGTGTTATCAAAACAATTATCTACAATATTATGAATGAAATCTTTTGAAACAGTTCTCTCTATTTCCATAATCTGTTGGTTGAGAGCATCGGCACTGAAATTGTTGTCATCGAGTATTTCGCATAAAATATCATTATTTGTGTTATTATTGGTGTTTGAGATGTGGTTTCCGTGCGATGTTTCCGGTGATGAGTCTATCAATGAATCAGGACTTTCATCATTACTATTAAAACTGTGTTTCTTTTCCTTTTTCTTTTTGTTTTCTAATATCTTAAGTCTTTTGATCTCCCGTTCCTCTTCAGTCAATATCCACTCCTTTCAATAAAACTTGGTTTAATAATTATAATCATGACCTTGTGCATTTCTATTTATACCCTTCTCATTCCGACGGCCAGGCATTTATCTAATCGACACTTTGAGCAAAATTTTCGTGTGATTTCATCAATTTTGCAGTTATTGTCGAAATGACATTTGAGCTATAATTTGATGGACAAACAATTTATTAAATTACTATTAGTTTACAAATAAAAAAAGTTAATACTTACAGTATTTCTTAAGGCATTCCTACGGAAAACGGCTTTACAAGCTTCACATGATACGGCACCAAAGTTTCTACCTGAATATATAATAATTATTTATTAATGTTTGTTATTAATGTTAATATACAAAAATTTGTGATTAATTAGCGTGTAGCATTTTATATCATACCCACTGCTTTATATCCACAAACACTACATATTTTCGTGATTTCTTTGTCACCCATGTTATTATTTATGGCAAATTAGGCGTTTTGTATTTAGTAAGCATTACATAAATAATTTTAATAAGAATTTAATACTAATTAGAAACAAAATCTTTAAGACATGTTTTCTTGGAAACTCGTTATATTAAAATTTAAGTTAAATATTAAATAATAATTATATTCAAACAACAATTACATTAATTTTAGATCATAAACACACTTTGACAAATTGACAAAGATATAAAAATAGCTTTCAGTTTTCAACTACTTATTTTTATTTGTATATTTTAGACCACAAAAATATATAAGCATAAGGTATCTGGCAATTGGGTTTCAAACACAAATAAATTATTTGTAATAAGACTTAATTATATATTCTTGACAAAAAATTCACTAAAAATAGAATAATTAATAAAAATATTGTGCATATAATATAACATGATAAGTGCATTTACACATTAATGATTATTATTACCGCAAGAGTTTGCGTATACAAGTCTAGGTAATGGCTTTTAATTTCTATATAGAATCGGGGATAAATCATACAAAACTAGTTTCATCATATTAATTCACAAGCGAATTATTCTTTTATGTTCAAGGTTAATCATACTAACATTTTTTGTGTTTCAAATTATACAACATTTTAATAAATAAACATTTTGCAATTATTTATTAATATTTATAGTTCGTAATTGGTATTTAAATTTTAATAAATTATAAATATCTATAATAATCAACTTATATTTAATACTCTAAAGTACTTTACTTTTAATACTGTCTTTAAAATTCTAAAATTAAAGTTAGATAAATGTTACTATTTTATACTAGTAATTATAATATAGTAACTTCACAATATCAAAATCTGGTTTAACCCAAAAAACATAATAAACTACAAACTTATCCATATTAATTTGTATTTAAGAAATATCTGTATTTGTTTTGCAATAAAACATAAATATAAATTACATTTTGCAATAAAAATATTATTCTGATCCATTCAAGTATGTTTATAAAATAATTTAAATTATACCGTGTTAATCATTAACAATATGCATAAAAATATTAGTATTGGTGATAAACTAATCATTATAAATATACACCAATGGACAAGCGAAACTGGTGTCGGTTATTTGCATATATCTCTTAAACGCGGATTTGGATTTCAGTTGTGACTTCAGATTCAGAAACTAGAATAAATGAACAATTTTTTGGTATATAGGATTATATTTTTAACTTACCCGGTCATAAAGAAATTTAATGTTGAATATTGATAAGAATATTTTCGGAATCCTCA